TTTTGAACTTGTTATCGAACAGCTTTCACTTAGATTTCGCTTTCTCATTTTTTTTTTTTTTTCGACTGGCAATCATTTACATTATGTACAAGGAGAACGCGTCAGAGCAGGTGCCCATTGCGTTCTTCAAATGCTTATGTAGTTGTAACGGGACATAGTAAGTTTATGCATGTCAATGAACTATCTTCTTGTTGAATGCTGTAACCTTTCTAATTTAGTCAACCAAACGCGCGTATATAATGGCAACCGCAAAAATGGAAATTATTTAGAAAGAAAAATCACAAATACAGTGTCAAACCTCCCTAACTCGAACGTCCTAAAAGTTCTAAATGCTACCAGTTATCATTGAGTTGAGAAAGATTTCTGCTTTTATGACTTTTCCGGTGAAAATTAATTTGAATTAAAAGAGAGAAATTGACGAATTCGAATTAAAAAGTTTTGAATAGATTGTAATACAATAAATATGTATGTCAAGAGAACAAAAATGTATTCAAGTTTGAAAAAAAGACCTACTAACAAAAAGTAATTACATTTAAATTAGCTTTTTCTGCAACTTACAAAAAATTATTAAATAAAGAAAATGCTCTGCGAGATAATATTGTAAAAGAAAATTGTTTGACTCTCATGGACATTCTACTTGATGGGTGTTGTGAAACCGGACTCATTTTCTGTCTTGTTACAAAATGATCGGTGTTCTTCAAAAGGTATCAGCAAAAGTACATGTCTGTATTCATCATTATTACACTCCTCAGCCTACTACAGAGTCAAGCACATTAATCCGTGAATTGGTTTCGCTCTCAGAACAAAGCATTATGAAATAAAAAAGCCAGTTATGGAAATTATGACTCCAATGTAAACAGATAAAATATTGTAAGATAACTTGGTCAGAACGATTTTTATGGTAAAAGACAATAGTCAATTCCATTATAATTAAATCGTTAATTAGATGTTGCTATCTATTAACGTTTTTTCGATTTGTAAATCCTTCATATTTACGTTAACGGCCTATATGAGCCGAAACTGATCAACTGCGGGTACAAGTTATTGAACATTACAATGCCTATAGTTTAGGAAAACTTTTAGACGTTTTAGTTTCAGTAATCTAGAGGAAAAGTTAAACATTATGGGCTAAGTGTGTCGCTTCCTGAAGAGATCTAATATTAAGATCGAAATCGCGATCCAGGTCTAGTTGGTTCCTAAAAATTACTGGTGAAGAATTTAGTCGTTCTTCTTATAAGCATTTGCTTCAACGTATTTAGGACATAAACGTTTGAGAAGGCGTGGGTAAAACCTATCATGAAATTTTGTACACTCATTGTCAGAAAGGGAAATGGAGTACCTTTTATACGAAAAAAACCTACTGTTCCTGAAGGACAGGAAAATTAGTTTTATATGGTCATTTGACACGTATTTAAGATAAGAACGCGAGGGAAGCCGAGGGTAAAACCTACCATGAAATTTTATACATAGATTGTCATAGGCACAGAAAAGGACGTAGAGTACCTTTTATCCAGAAAAAAAATACTGTTCCCAAGAAATAGAAGAATTAGTTTCATCTGATCGTCGATGATCTTTGAATTGTGAAGTTTTGAATGGTTTCTGAAAAATAGACCACCACGTACACAAAAAACCCTATTTACGCTGTGGTCGTATGTTTTAGCTTGCATGGTTTTGTAGTAAACTGTTTGACAATCAAATATTGTACTCTAATATTGTGGTCAAATTTTAACCTTTGATACGTTGCTATTTTAGTATATATACATGAGTGTTGTGGTCATTTAAAATATTGGTGATATTATTCTTTCGCCGTTAAATTGCATATTATATATGAACCTACTAGAGTTAAATTTTAGCCGAGCTAAATGACTTGAAAACCGTTTTCCGTTATTGTAAGTAATGCCAGTACTTACGTATACATACATAACGGATATTGGCGTCTTCGGCTGCAATTGGGCATGATGTCCGTTATACATCGCCAATCGTTCGATAATGACCTATTCTGATATGAGCACACTGAAAAGGTCAAACTATAACTATTACGAATGTTTATTCGTATTAAGTAAAACATAACGCACAAATTTATTTAGGGGCTTATCAAAACGCTTTAATGCATACCGAATGGAATGTGGGTGACCATATTTCAACATCCTTTATAACATGATATTATTACAAGTGGGTTGTGGTATAATGTTTCGTTAACTCAGCTCTTGTTTGTATTTCCGAAAACGAAATATAATTTTTCTTTTACGGAATAACCAAATGGTGATAAGGAAAACCAGTCTTAGTCTTTCGGTTTTGTCTTGTCTGGCATGATCAGGAATGGTAAAAGTAGATTCGAAATTGCAGGGCTACGGACGAAGCTGATGTTATGTATAATTTTAATTTTTGTTGAATTGTTATGATAACTCTTACAAAAACAAGAAGAACAAAAAGACCAAAACCAAAGTGTATTGTCGAAAACAATACCAATATCAAAACTAAGACTATATTATCATAACCGAACGTAATTTAACTTCTTTTTCGAATTGTGACAACTGACGAAGTGTAAAACTAGAAAATAACCTCCCCGTTTTTTCCCTATTAAGTGATTTACCTCGATCGCTTTTTCAATGATTTTTAATTAATTTTTTGCTAAACGTACTTATTATAAAAAAGGACTCTTGCATTACAAGAGTTACTAATCATTTTGTTTCTTTTTTTGCGGAATTAATCAAATAAGATAAAAATTACGATCGATAACTTTTTACGCGAACTAAGGATCGGTTTCAGATTTACTTTACCTGGTAACAAGTAGGTACAGGAAGCAAATTATTTAAAACGACAAATCGAGGACATCCGTCTACACATATCGCATGTAAACGAAATGCAAAAATATACTTGTAACACAGAATTCTTTATTATCTGTTTAAAATCAATCCTGTTAGAAAGTATTACAAGCAGTTGAAATTGGGCTGCTTACCATGTAATTCTGTTTGTCATTTAATTAACTTTTTGTCTGCAGCTTTTTAAAATTAAATCATACCCTGTGGGAACTTCATGTAGCTAGCTTGTTTCTGCAAGAAATTTGCTAAATTAATTGTAGTTTTATACCCAATCAGGCGTATGACAGAATGTTTGGGCGTTTTATAAAATGTCTAATTAAGGAATTACAGTCTGAATAAAGTTACTTCTTCATAATAAGCAAAGTAAGAACAAGACCAAGACTGTTTCAGTTTGGGTATTAGTCTTAGTCTTGCTTATTCGGTTTTGATCTTCGTCTTCCTTAAATATTTCTAATCTTGGTCTTCGTCTTACTGATAAAGTTTTGGTTTTGGTCTCGGTCTTGCGTGTTAAGTTTTGGTCTTGCTCATTTAATCTGATACTTACGTTTTTTTTTTAATAATTCTAAGTACAAATTTTTCTATTTACCGACACAATCATACATGCGAGCTTGTCAAGACTGTCAAAGAAAATAGTTTCGATAGTTGTAACAATTATGAAAATTCATAAACTGACCCTTCCTGAGGGAACAAAGCAGTAAAAAATATACCAAAAAAAAATAGTTTGTGTCTATATTTCAACCATGTGTTATCCAAACATGCGAATAAAGAACACTGAGCCAGAGGGCTATCTTGTAGATCCCTTTTGATAAAGTTTCTTTTTTTTTCATTTACAAAATTTGATTTGGTGAAGCCATTAAAAATTAGTAGCGAAAAGCGTATAACATTTTTTATCAAGGACGGTCTTGAAAAAGAGTTTTTCGTGTTCGTATCATGCGGTAGGCACTCGTACCTATTCATTCAAGTACGTACATATGCACCTGTACTTATATGGAAAGAACGGTGTACATCGAAAGATCGCAGTTACTTTCTTTCATTAATTAAGTATATGTATGTCGAATGCCTTACTAATAGGGAATAAAGTGGAAACCGAGACTTTCTTTTATCATATATTACAGCATCTCGGCTTGTTCCAATTCAAACGACAACGTGTACGATGGGAAAAGACAACACAACGATTCACTTGTTTTGTTTTTTTTTTTTTGTAAAACCTTAACTTTTAATGTACGTTCAAATTACAGCCAGTTGTTCACTCAAGGCTTTTATTAGTAACGGTTATTGTTCATAACAATTACCTAAACAAGAAAACTGGGTTTACATGCACTTTTTTATTACTCGCAGTAGGCGTTCAATGCTATTAGAAACGATAGTATGTATAAAAAAATATTTACGGGCACAAGTATATTGAATGCTCCGTTAAAAAGTTACAAAGATTTTGAAAATAAGAACTAAATAAATTCGTACTTCAGGTGGTGCATCTTTTGTGAAACCCGGTGAATAAATGTAGAAAGTAAGCACAAGTGGGTAGTTTCGCCAAATTATATGCACAGGCGTTTTCTAAAGCTTTTATGGTATATATGTACCTAATAGATTACAGAGGATATTTTTGTAATAATTACACAAACTACCATTTTTCCATCAGCAAAAAAGTGCTATTGGAAAATCTAGACTGATAAGGACTTCACATCAAAATGCGAAACGTTAGTGTTGCTTTAAAAGATAAACTCTGTGGTATTAGTTAACACCTCGTAGATACACTGATGGCCAAACGGGTAGAGCTATCCAAACTAGACTAACAGAACGCGTTAATGTTAAAAAACAATATATATCCAAACAATATCAAAATTTTGCATAGTAATAGCAGAAGATGCAATAAATTAACGCTGTTAGAACATCTAGAAGTTAACAGAGCATTCTACAATTACAATAAACTTATGAACAACCAATTAAAATTGAGTAGCCTTATTTCCCTACTGATATATGTATCTAGAGGGTCGAAAAAAATACTGAAGCTAGCCACTGAAAGTTCCGAAATACCTACAAGAATGAACTTTCTAATTCACATTACATGAATTATTTTATATTTTTCGCAGAGAAAATCTTTGCAGATAATGAAGAGATGGCATTTTCTTTTACTTTGGATATTTGTAGTACAAACAAGACGTATGAGTAAAATNTTATTTTCATTAATATCATTAAAATAATGACTACTACGGAAATCCTTATATTCTCTTGTCATTTGTCTGTATTCTGATAAAATTTCTGTTGCTTGAGCTTTTATTACATTATCTTCAGATTCATGAAGACTAGATCTATTTTCATTTCTTATTAAGTTACATTTAACGTCGTAGTATTTTTTTGCTGAGAAAGACTTATTTGCGTTAGGAGAAGATTTTGCAGACGATAATGCTCCATCAGGTTCAGGTCTGACCTAAAAAAAAAGAGTTACCAAAAAATTATATTAAATTATACACGAAACTTACTGATAAGTCGTTTGTAAAGTTGGCTTCGTATGGTAAACTGAAATAATTCGCTTCCTCAAAGGAAAATAGACGTAATTTCTGTTTTATATTTGCCTTTTCCCTGTGTGAATAATAATGGTTTTATAATATTTTAATAAGTATATAATATTATAGAGTAAGGGCTCCAGGCAAAAGTCATTCAAATACATTTTTTATGTACCTACTGAAATCTTAAACCTAGCCTAACCCAAACCTTTAGTGCATAACACTTTACACATGTCAATCAGAAATTCCTTTGTCAGCCTATAGGGATATGTAGTATGTGTCAAGGGTTGAATTCTAAGTATCAGGGATAAGTGTTATGTACCAAGGATTAAGACTATGATAGGGCGAAGTGTTAGACGCCAGGTATAAGTGTTATATGCGAAGGATTTCAGTTTGGGTTAGGTTGGGTCAGTTTTGTTTCCATGATACCATCGCGATTTTTATTGGGGTATTTTGAAATAGGGGAGGCATTGACAAAGTACCTCCCCTGCTTCACACATTTACTTTTACCTTTAAAAATAAGCTTTAGTATGTAAAAAATGTTTTGGAAAGACTTGTCTAGGGCTCCAATTCGGTATCATTGGTATCTAATATAAGTAGTTTGTATTACCTTGCTCGTTTTTGTTGAAACTCTCTTTCTACCCTTTGCATAGCCTCAAATTCGCTAAGTCTTTGCTTTTCTTTTATTTCCGCTTCTTTCGATAATTTTTCGGCCAATCTCCTCCTTTCGATTTGCCTGATTGTACTTTGGAATGTGAATCTTTTTGATTTATTTAATTTATTTTCATCTGTACTTTGCGAGCGTTCATTATTATTTATTTTGTGCGAAATGTTTTCTGTTGATTTAGAAAGGTATGAGTTAATTTTTGATTCGCCCAAATTTGAACTTTTTCTTCGATAATCGATAAGGCAGTTTTTGTCTTCGCGGCTGCTATGCCTAAAATGGTTCTTTTGCTCTGGCAAATACATGAGCCTTCCGATATTCTGTTTGCTGTTTATGAATTTGGACTCTTCGTCTTTTTTAAAATTTTGGAAATCAAGGGAACGGAAACCGTTATTGTTCAGAGAATTCGGAACCGATTTGCTGAGGAACCAGTTGCTATTTTGATTTTGAAAATTGTTATCATTTACGTCTTTCTTATTATTAAACGTACTCAAAACTCCAACAACAGAATTTTTGAATCTTTGAAGACTAGAATTGACGTGAATATCTTTGTTATCAATATACGTCGCGAAACGGTTGTCCCTGGGGAGAGAAAGGCTAAATACATTTCTACGGGACTGTATGTCATTTGCTGAACTTATTGGTTGGAATAAAATTTTACTGTTGGTTTCTTCTTCGCTACTGTCTTCCTGGAGATCTTGTTGGGGAGTCCAGGAAGTCAGTTGGGATTCACTTAACATTATGGGTAACTAAAAATGACAATGAGTATTCAGATTAAAGAAAGTACATTTTTTTTTACCATTAGTTCGTTTCTTGAATCGTCGACTTCTGGAGAATCGTCATACGCTGGCGGTCCAGCATCTCCCGATATCCCCGAATCGCCAGATTTATCGTTATTTGAACGAGAACCAATTTGTACAATTGGTGGAGGTGGCGGGGGATACCTGGGACGTTTCCTAATTTTTTCCTCGACAAGAAATGAGTTTTCTTCTCCAGATAAGGTATTCACGGTTTGATTTTCGACAGTAGAAAGCATCTTCCATGCTGTAGAAGGAGAGAACCGAGGAATCTCCAGCTGTTTCTTTGGAAGTATGGGCCTCAGATGGAGCGCAATTCCGTCCTTTGATTCATCTTTTGATGCAATTATTTCGCAAGAAGAATCTGAACGTGAGGAATCCGATAAAGAATGCTTCCTGTTGCGAAAGTTCGTAGCGGTGGTATTTTCGCTGGATTCCTTCATTCCAAAATAAAAAGTCCTCTTTGGTATTTGCTTAGTATGCGTTTCATCATTACTTGAAGACTTTTGTAACTGGGTCGATTTTGATAAAACGTTTTTGTTTTGTGTACTTCCCCTTTCTGGATTATTACGGTCTAAAGAACCTTTTAATCTTTCGACCTTGTTATGCGTTGTTTTCTCATCGTCTAGTTTAATGTTCGGTGATACTGGTTGAGTTTCTTTTTCTGGATCAAATTTCTTCATCTGCCTTATTCTTTCTTTAATTTCTTCTATTTCTATTTGTAATTCTGGCATACTTCTTGCCCTTTGTAAATTAGGCAAAGAAGGTTTGTTGCATTTGGTGTATTTGTTTTCGTTTATATATCCTGTCATATTCGTTTCTTCAATTGATAATGGACTAGATTTTTTGGTCTTTAACTCTGCCTGTGTTTTGAAAAGACGAGATCTTCTAATGCCCGACTTTTCCGCCAAATCTGGCATATTATCGTCAACTTTTTTTGTATCCTACAATTTATTACGTATAGTAATTATTAATGGAATTAAGTATGAAGATTGGAAAAACTTTGGCGGTTGTTGTAGAACAAACAGAATAGCTCAAAACCCCAACACCAAAACACGACACTGTAGTTGTCCGAAGCACTTTTCGGTATCAAAGTTACCTTCTTCAGGGACTTCAGTGTTTTGGCGTTGGGGTTTTGAGCTATTCTGTTTGTTCTAATGGAATTAAGTGATCATATCAAATTTCTTACCGATATTACATTGATTGGCGGAGAAGGCGCCCTATACTTTTTTCTGTTTTTATATTTGTCTCTTATGTCCATAGCTGAACAAACATGTGAACTTTGTTTACTAATATTTTCACTATTTTGTCTCATCTGAAATAATAAATTGTGAGTACGCGTGTAGGTCTTTTATCTTTTATTAAGTTGGGGTACTACCTGCACATGTGACACCCTTTTAGGTCCCAGATCTTCATGGTAACTAAGAAATGATCTGTGTTTCTCAATTTTATTGTATTTTTCAGATGAATGAGAGGAAATACTGTTTGACCTGCATATTTCCTAAGAAGAAAAGCAAAAGTGAATTTTAAATAGGAATGTCTTTATATTTTCTAAGTTGAATATCTCCTAATGTGTTTCGACATTAACTCTAATGTGTATTAACCTAGTTTCCAACATTATACTTCCAAATAAAGCAATTGTTTCAGTAACAACGTTTTTTTTTGCTAACGCGAGAACCCTCTCTTGCGATGTGAAACATATAATCTGCCTTTCAATTATAAATATCGAAAAATTAATTATACATTCTTTGCAATTTAATACACTTGTGTTGGAATGGATTAATTAGTTATTGTTTATCTAATTGTGTAATATTACATCGTTTATTGTAACGTAATTGTGAAGAAACCACAATAATAAAAGTGATAATGAATTTTGTTTGACTTTTAGAGAGTGATTTTGAAACAGTAGGATTCTGATGCTATAATAGTAATTGTTTCACACTTTACTTAACGCCTCAGTGACTATAGGAATTTTAATTTCTTAATAAAACAATTGTTGGGTACTACATTTGTTAATATTGTATAACTCTAGACACTTGCCAGACAAAATGGTTCTAAAGGATTATTATAGTTAAGTAATGAGTATGTAGGTACAATATTAGTTTAAGTTATTTTCTTACAATGTCTTTTCTTCCGTTGGCTAAAACAATATTTGTCTTTTTACTTAAAGTTCCACCATTGTGAAGAATTTCACCATTATCTGTAGGACGTAATCTGGTATCGACGTTTTTTTCGGGTAAAACTTTATGTTGGAGTTGTGGCAGTTGTCTAGGGGTTGAATTTCTCCATTGATGTTCGGCATGGGACAATGATTTTGTTATTATTTCAGAACGGCTACTGTTATTACCCATATTTGATTAACTTTACTTCGAAATGCATTATTCTGCAATCGAATCATTTTGCTTAGTAAAATTAATCATATTTTCTTACTCATATATTTACTAATCTGAAAATGTTGAAGGAAAATTAGTTGCTGGTTTCTTTGCATGAATTTAACTAGCTTTTCTGATTCGGTATCTAATGAGTGTGATTTTTCTTTGCTACAAGAAGAAATACCGAAAACTGTTACCAATTTTGAATTCAATATTCGTAAATGTTAGTTATTGAGAGTGAAAAACAAGAACAAGAAGAACGGTTAGTTATTTAAAACTGGCACTCTAAATGCTCCACAGAATCTTAGTTTCAACATTTTCCAAATACCAAGTCTAAAACATACTTCAAAAAATGTCCTCTTAGAAAGTTTTTAACAGACCCTGTCAATATATAGTAATAAAATGGTGGTAAATCTTCATCCTTCAGGTGTACTGACGTATGACCTCATCAGTAAAAATTTTCAATTAGTTAACAACGTAAGACAAATATTAAACATTTATATACGATAGTTGAGAGTGAAATTATTTATTTATACATCACCTACCTACTTTCTATGTCTACATTCTTAATATATCCATAAATGAAAGGTAAAAGTTCTGTCAAAGGAATTATCGTTTCAGATTTTACACTGTACTACTACGTAAACATAGTATCATGTATCAAAAAACGCACAAGACTAAAAGGATTCGCACCCTGAGTGCTCTTTACCGTTATAAAGGGCATTAAAAATTTTGTGTGATAAACCAACATATATTTTCGTAGAACAATCTTTGTTGTATGAAAAGAAGGGATATTAGCTTAACTATGCAAGGAATGCTTTTGCGCCAAAGAATTTTCTTTTCGGTAAATTTCCCAAGTTTAACAAAAATTTGCAACCCTTTTTCAATTGAAGTGAATCTTTCCATCAAGTTTCTATTCTTCTAATAGAAAATTATAAAAATTAATAGTTTGAAAGGCCTAGGTACCTCTCTATTGTGTTGAATTAGAAAATTGAGTTTCTTAGAAAAAGGGCTTTGATGGACAGCCAGATAGGCAACAAGGTGCTTCTGTATAACGGATTATTTGAAATTGATGAAAAGTGTACAATACCTCATGCCATGTGCCAATAAATTTGGCCATCACGACGGGAACCATTCATATCTCCTAGACACGTTGTCAACAAACAATAGCAAAATTTAAGAAGAAAGGAAACGATTTTACTCCTTTCACTCGGCATTTGGTATGAAATTTTACAACTTTCCAACTATTACTTTATTGCAATAAGTTATATCTTTCGAGGTGATGTCTTAAATAAAATTTGTAGAGAAAGTTGCAAACTTGTTTTAGATCCATTCATACCTATGAAGGACATACTTACGCATAGTTTTGTAACTATTGAGGTCATCAGCCATTAGTGTTTCTTAATGGGAAAAAAATAGAAATAACAACATTTGCACACTTGGTTTATTTACCAAATCTAACAGTTAACGAGTACATGATATTTAAGCAGATGCAGAAACATCAAACGTCACTCCAAATGAAGAACAAATATTTGTTCTATCATTCGTCAAATGCTCATTTTTATAAATGTCTTTCTAATTTTTACATTTTCTTTATGGCACGCGTCAAACCTCGATAATGTTCTAATGGTTCTTGGAAATACAGTGGTTCTGTGATATCTTCGTCTGTTTTATTAAATTAAAAATTGTTTTTATGATGCTATATTTTGGAATTGCATTTGCAAAACAGCGATAGCCGCTCGAGTTTTCTAAGAAAACAACCAAATCATATCAGTATTATTCAAATTCGCAGTGGTCATTTTTATTAATCAAAACATAAAAGAATAATAAAAAGCTTCAGTGTGGTTTTCACTGAAATTCATGAGTAGTTATAAGCAATACTCAGACAAACCATGTCAAATTTCTTTTTCTCAGTAGATTCAGCACCCAGGCAAGTGTTTTTTCATTATTCCTTACAGTCATATTAACTTTTTTTAATATTAATTACAATTTAATTTACATTAATAATCAGTTTCATCATAATCATAAGGTCCTACGACTGGTTGGACACGCACCTCCACTCTTTCCTATCGTATGCTAATCATCGCATTTCCCTAAAACTAGAACAACCCACATCCTTAACTATTTGCGAACAGTAATATAATCTAAATCTACCTCTACCCCTGTTTCTGCCTCTAATATGTCTCTTACTAGACCTTCATTCCTGAGAAGGTGTCCTACCAACCTATCTCGCGTATTTCTTATTGACTTCCACAGAATCCTTTGTTCTCCTATTCTTTCTAATACCTCTTCATTTCTAACTTTCTCTATCCACGGTATCCTCATCATTCGCCTGTAACACCACATTTCGAAAGCTTCTAGCATTTTCTTTTCCGCCGCGCCCACAGTCCATGTTTCGCACCCGTACATACACCTTTAACAACCTTTTTTCAATTTCGAAATTAACTGTTCACGAGCATAGAAGTGACTTCTTTTTCTGCTCTGCTTTATATCCTTACTACACCTTCCGTCCTGTCTTATCTAACTTCCTAGATACCTAAAATCGATCAATTTTTCGTTTCCCATCTTTATATTCGCTCTTTCCCTACTTTTTCTTCCCTACCAGTATTTTTGTTTTACTTTAATAATAAGTTTAATGCAAATTTATCCTTGGAGATGGTCCTTCCGAGACTATTTCAGAAATGAATAGAGGGGTGTATTCCAGAGTTGTTGGATACTGCTGGTTAGGTTTGGTTTCCCAAGTTCGGTGTTAATGGGATTCGTTGACGAAAACTTTTTATTTCCGAAGACCACCCATAAGAGCTATAATGTATTATTGAAGGTCTTTAATTTTGAACTTGTTATCGAACAGCTTTCACTTAGATTTCGCTTTCTCATTTTTTTTTTTTTTTCGACTGGCAATCATTTACATTATGTACAAGGAGAACGCGTCAGAGCAGGTGCCCATTGCGTTCTTCAAATGCTTATGTAGTTGTAACGGGACATAGTAAGTTTATGCATGTCAATGAACTATCT